AAAAGAAAAACATCGTGAAAGGTTTTCAAAAGTCAACTTAGTTCTCTTTATGTACCTTTAAACCAAATATTGTTTGTACATATCTATCTACTCACTAGTAGATGCGGATGTGACTATACAGCTGTATAAGTTTTTTCTACCTTTTGATTAGAAAGTTACGCGTTATTTGCTTTGTATTCGATTCTATACAATAACCAGGTATTTGAAGATGATGTTCTAAGCAATCATCTGTGATGTTAAATGAGCGTCATTGTCTTATCAGTGAGCATTCTAAACAGTGGTTCGAGGATAAAATTAACAGAACTCCTGTTGCATGTCTATATCTCTTAGTATATATATATATATATATATATATATATATATGTGTGTGTGTGTGTGTGTGTGTGTGTATATATATGCGTGTGTGTGTATATTCATCTGTATATATATATATATATATATATATATATATATATATATATATATATATATATATATATATATATATATATATATATATATATATATATATATATGAAGTGGACACTAGGTTAAAACTGAGCGGCAACAGTCTGTTTTATGCTTGAACGCAATCTCCAGGCCTGAAGATGGTGTTCAAGCATGAAACAGACCTTCTCTTTCTCTTCCTGCCTATCTTCTCCCTCCATCGATCTATCTATGTGTGTACACACAAACACACACACACGTACGCACACGCACACATATATATTTAAGAAATTTATTATATTCATATGGAAAAGTGCACAATTTTTAATATCTTGCTCTAGAGGCCGCATTAAGTTGTGAAACTGACAGTTACTGCGTTTGTGTGTGTGTATATATATATATATATATATATATATATATATATATATATATATATATATATATATATATATACACACAAAACCATGTCAATTCTGGAAACCTACCAAAGAAAAATGAATGTGTATGTATTTGTATGAAGCTATTGTGAATCTGATAGGCTAAACTTGGAAGGTGGTCTGATATTGAAAGTCACTCAACCGCCGATCGTCCCGGCTAAAACATGGATGTCATGAGTGGCGTTGATTGCTTTGAAAATATCTTAATTGTCGATTGTATAACAACACACAGATCATTGATTTAAATTTCGATTAAAAAATTGAGCCATTCGGTTTTTGCTAGGACCAACGAACTGGCTCTACAGAGTTGTAAAATAACTTAACCAAACCAAACTGAGGACTTTTAACAACAGCAACCATTAAAATTTATCACACATATAAATTGAATATCAAATGGTTATAAGAACAAAATGCTGACATTCTACACTATTTCTAAGAATATTTTCGCAAGGAAGATACCATACATACTGGAATGAGTAATAATGGCAAATAGACTTCCAACTCCCTTTTCCTGGTTTGGTTTGGTTCGATTAACGGCATATCAACACCTCCATGGATTATTTAATGCCGACAAGATTTATATTACGGATAATATTTTTTTTTCAAAATGTATTGTTGGTAATATTTTTACTAGTAATATTTTTTCTCAAAAAGTTATTCTGGTAATAATGCAATGCTGATAATAATTCTTTCTTCGAAAATTAATTGGTGGTAATAATTTTTTTACCAACACATATTGCTGTTAATAAAACCTATTTTTACATATTTTGACCCCTGTTTTGGAGTTAGCAACCTGTCCACAGCCGGGACCCCAACAAGTGCTACTACCCTATATCAGAGTGGACCTGGGAACACCAGCAATTAAAAGATGGTTCCACGCTCCCCAAAACATCCCGATCAGAGAACTTGCTGTCGGATATAGTTTATCGTCTTACCCAGGACGCGGATATACTTTATCGTCATACCAAGGACGGTCATATTTCACGAAAAAACTCTTTTAATACAAATATTTTTTTAAAATTACAACCAATGGTAGCTCTAGCTACCCGGTCAATGATTGTCAAATGTTTCCTCATAAGATAGCTAATATTATCTAAACTTTACCATAGCGAATTCCAGATTATGAAGATATTTCTCATTCACAGAAACTGTCAATATCTTTTAAATATCATTATTTGCAACTTTCCAGGTAATGAACCGTATATTCAATTTTCTATGTTCTTCTGCAAGAAAATCATCATCGTCATCTTTTGTGCTGTGACCCTTTAATATTTCAATGATTTTGACTATCCAAAATTGCTGATTTTGTAGCTCTATGCAACATTTGATTCATTACCAACTATTCATATCTCAGTTCTGTCGCCTATTCATATAGAATGTTTTTCTAAATGATCCTTGTTTCTATACTCCCTCAACATATTTTGTTAGTATTAAGTCTTCCAAAACGTTCTTCCTAAAATAATTAATCTGCCTTTCTGATTATAAATTGTCTTTCTAGTTAAAATTTCTACAATGTTATATTTGACAGTATAAAGGTTTTATGCTTTTACTTAACATTACAGTATTATATATTTAGACAAGTTTGAAATTAGTTGTAGTTTACATAATTTGAATAGACGTTAGCATATTACATGCAAAAATTCTCATATATGTTTTCTGGTGTATGATTTGAGCCACTTTATAAGAAAACTTAGGCTTTGATTCTGTCACATTCGGTATCTACAAACTTTTAGGATTCAATTTGAATGCCGCATTTTCCTATATATTATCCCTCCATTAAATGGTAAAATGATAAACACGAGCAAATTTGAGGTCGTTCTGACTGACCGCTTCTATGTATCCTGCATTGTGAAATGGTGTCATGTACAGAACTGCTTTTTTTGAGGAAAATGATTCATGTCGCTCAAAGTTAACGATATTTTTTGTTGGAAAACCATCAATTATAATTTCTAATTTTGATACGAGTTAATATCTTTCCAGCAGTGTTTGTTTCTGTCGTTAACACAACATTTCTGCAGATCTTTTTCAATTTCAATATAATTTACTAGAATCTAATTGCTGCTATATAGCTCATGTTTCCTGATTAATAACAAAGATTTTTTTCATATGGAAATATGGTGTTAGTTTCTCAATTAAAATTAATATTTAAATTTTTTTTCTTTAAACAAAATATGATTTCTGAATCGCATTCTAGTATCGCGTTAAATTCTGAGCCATCTCTCCACCTTGAAACGACAATCCACCGGGAAATTCTATCAATACTTTGGTTGGAAACCTGAGCGAAGAATCTTAAGGAAAACAAGAACAATGAAAATCGTACAAAAACGAATTGGTTAAATGAGGATTGAGTAAAGTTAAACGTTTACCAGATATGCTGAAGGCAGTAGAAGACAGTTTCTGATTTTATAAACCAGTTTCTAGGAAATGAAGTCAGGAAGGAAGCAAACAGTGGCGGTAAAAGCTTAAGATCTACCGTTAGAAACAAAAGGTACGATGTTGTACCGAACCATGATCACTTACATCCTAATGATATTTAGCACAAAGAAGAAGAAGAAGAAGAAGAAGAAGAAGGAGGAGGAGGAGGAGGAGGAGGAGGAAGAAGAAGAAGATGAGGCGCGGAAAAAAAAGAGGAAAATGAAGAGGAAGAATAAGCAAAGAAAAGGCTGAGGGGAGGAAGAAGTGTATGTATAATAAGGAGTAAGAAAAAGAAATAAAGAAGCGAAGGAGGAGGATGTGGAAGAGTATGCGGAAGTAGTATTAGTAGTAGAACAAAAAGTATTAGAAGAAGTAGTAGTAGTAGTAGTAGTAAATTACCTTAGATCATAACTGAAATAACCGATAAATCTATACATCTTCTCATGATATCACCAATGACTTCGACTTTTATAAAATGAATACAAAATAAATTATTCCGAAATCGTTAAAAGAATACTACTCTAAAATGGTGACTTTGTGCAATGCTAACCAAATCTTAGTCAAAAGGGAACACTATGATATGGAGCAATATTTCGTATTTAAATTTTACAATTCATTATTGAATTCCAACCAGATTGGATGCTCTATATTCTTGGCCTTGTGTCAGAATAAACGCAGGTTTAAAAAAAAACACTAATCTTTCGAATAGCATTTAACGAGTTGCGAATTAGTATCGCTGATTGTTAACTTTGTAATTAGTTTAATCTTCTCTGTGAGCTCCAAGATTGTAGCCTTTTGCCAGACGAAATCCTATGATGATATAATCCAAAATCAAATAACATAATACTAATTACTATGTTGTCTAGATTCGTTTGTAATATTAATGAAATAAATCAACTTTTTCCGGAATATATTCAGGAGTCCATCTGACATGTTCCTAAAATTGCTTTTAATTCAACATAGTGATCTTCAACCCAATTAAGTGATTTGATAATAAAATCCAGGTTTTTGGTAGTTAATGTAAACTTGGAAGGAAAGAATAAGTTTCCACGTCTTGGAATCTCCTGTCTGGAACTAATATAGGACGATGATTTATACATACAGGTTTTTGTAAATTACCAGCTGAAATATAGCATTCCTCCACAAGTAGTATTCTTACTGGTGGTGTAGCCCAAATTTTATTGACAATTCCGCATCTATTTTAGCGTCAGAAAGGACTTTCAGCATATGAAAATGTTTACATGATGAGCGTTCTATCTATCTATCTATCTATCTATCTATCTATCTGCTAGTCTGTTCATATCTATCAAATAGTCTGCTCATATCTATCTATCTATCTATCTATCTATCTGCTAGTCTGTTCATATCTATCAAATAGTCTGCTCTATCTATCTATCTATCTATCTATCTATCTGCTCTGTTCATATCTATCAAATAGTCTGCTCATATCTATCTATCTATCTATCTATCTATCTGCTAGTCTGTTCATATCTATCAAATAGTCTGCTCATATCTATCTATCTATCTATCTATCTATCTGCTAGTCTGTTCATATCTATCAAATAGTCTGCTCATATCTATCTATCTATCTATCTATCTATCTATCTATCTATCTATCTATCTATCTATCTGCTAGTCTGTTCATATCTATCAAATAGTCTGCTCATATCTATCTATCTATCTATCTATCTATCTATCTATCTATCTATGTTAATCTATTAATATTTATTGATTTAATTTGATAATCTATCTAAATATGCCGCCCAAGTGACAACGATGAATGATTATAAAATCAGAAAAGCTAAGTTTGAATTTATATATATTATGTAGGCTGCTGGACATACAAACACTACACACACACACACACACACACACACACACACACACATATATATATATATATATATATATATATATATAGATATATAGATATATATATATATATATATATATATATAGAGAGAGAGAGAGAAAGAAATTGTATGTAAAAATAAAAGTTGGCATTGTGGCCAACGCCCAGCGGCGACAGTCTGTTTCATGCTTAACCGCAAATTTCTCGCCATGTGTCTTGCGTTTTGGTTTGACTATTTAAAAATGCTGGTCAATAGTGCCTCATGTGTAGGTCTGTTGTATTATTATGACTGCTATTGAGGGGGAGCTATTGAGTAGCAACAATTCTGGAACCGAATGCATTTCTCTGGTTTTTTTCGAGTGTTGTTTTCTTTTACCTGATGGCTTCCTTAGTTTTTGTTGATTGTTATTATTCATTTTACTAGTGTTTTATATATATTCGTAGTCTTTTAATTTGTTTATTATTTACTTAATTTATTTACTTATTTATTCATTTGTATTATTTTATTTTACTTATTTATTTTACTTATATATTTTTTATTTTATTTATTATTTATTTTTGTTCGTTTTTAGTTTTCAGTTTTTAAATAACGAAGTTAAATTTTTTTTTCCTGTCTGTATTTTGAAATGGGTTCGGGCCGTATATTTAGTAGCTTCTGTTGGTCTGTGAAGCTAATTACAGGCTATTCTTTTTCTTCAGACAGAATTTACAGTTTTTTTTATTTATTTTTGTAGGCGGACAATGTGATTTGGTTTATATTTTTAATTCCCCATATATGTTTAGAAATCCTTGTGCTTTTCACGTATTTACTATTTGTAAAGTTTGTTTTGTGTACAGAGTTTCTTTGTTATCAGGATCCTTAAGATATACGTATGTATATTTTTTCTTCGTTATCCTCCGATTTTAAAGAGGCCTGATGTGTTACATTGTTCTGCAAGCAATTGCCGTTTAAGGGACAGTCATTCTTTGTTCTACAGTTACACGTGGGTTTGATTTGTACGAGTGCTTTGTTGATTGTTTCCCTGTAGTGATTTATTATCATTTACGTCAAGTTCTCAGTGCAACTGTAGTAGATTTGTCTGTGTTTTTTTTATTTCCTGGATTATCTCGTGGAGAGTAATTCATTGCGCTTAAGCAGGAAACAGTCTCTGTTGGGAGTTGATCTCAATATATATCTATATGTGTATCGCAAAAGAGTAAAAGCAATGCAATACAAAAACAATGCAATAAAAATGAAATTGTAAAATCAATCGCCGAAAGTAGTCTGAAACGTATCTTCGTTGATTTGACTTTTTACAGATTAACAAACTTTCGGAGGTTATTTATAGTAGTAAAATATTTTTAGAATTTTTGGAAGATAATAATGAGTTTCTGTTAAAAGTCCTACTAGTTACCCATAACCGTGTGTGTGTAGGGTAAGAGGTTGATAAATAGGTTTCACAAGCTCATTTTTGCGTAAATGAATATAATGAACCCGACTGGAACTGAAACTTCTCTTCCGTTTCCATTTCTAAACACTTGTCCATTACATCCTCACACATCCAAGCTTGTATTCTCAAATAGTCAAGCATCAATATACTGACTTGGCACAACGTTGCTTATATATATATATATATATATATATATATATATATATATATATATATATATATATAAAATTCCCCATGTATTTATTATACGCATTTTTTAAAAAGAATAATAACAAAATAAGCGGTGCGTATTATGCACAGCTATAAAAATATCTTTAAAAAATTGCCGTTTCATAGGTCGATTTCAGTTTCGAGATGACAACTCACCACAAACATACGACACTTTGACACTAACATTTGGCGATTGTGACCCTATAAGAATATAGAAAGTTAATCATATGTGCCTAACAATACTTACAAATGTAAAATATAAGAGTTATTATAAAAATAAATTAGAATAATATTATTCTATGTTTAAAACCATTTTTTAAAAACGACATACAGATCCGGTAGATTGCACATAATGAGTCTGCGCAGTAGGCAAAATATAGGAATTTCCGTTTCCTTTTAGAATCGTGAAGATCTAAAACTTTGATATTTTTATTTACAGCTTGAATAAAGGTAGGAAACACTGGCCATAATGAAACTGGAGAGATACAATTTATAGGGTTTTATTACCAAACTTTGTGCGTATTATGCGTGCGTACAAAAAATATACCACCCTTTCAGTAAAATGTTACGGATGAAGGCGTATTATACAGTAATATATATATATATATATATATATATATATATATATATATATATATATATATATATATATATATATATATATATATATATATATATAAAATTAAACATATTTATTGTAATAATATTTGTAATACAAAAGAAAGAGATGGGGACAGAGAGATGGAAGGCATTATTTTAAAATCTTTCCTTAATTTACAATTATCATTGTATTTTCCAGTTGATTAATAATGGAACACAACTAATTTGATATTGATCTTTCATATTATTTATTAATTATGAATCTCGGGGTCATGCTACTGCTTTATTTAAACATCTATTCTTTTACATTATTCATAATATATATCTATTCAGTTTTATTTACTTTCGATTTTAATTCTCTCAAATGATAGAATAAGCATAATTTCGTAAATATGAGTTTATATTTAGCTAGTAATTTTCTCTATTCAATTACTGATGAATATTTATTATATTTATAAGAAAATTGCTATTAATTTTATGTATAACTAAATTAGAATTAATTTAAAGTATTGTTAATAGTTATTAATGTGAGCCACTAATTCTGATTCACTGTTCATTATATAATCGTTTAGTAATTTAAGGAAATAATATAATTCCTGCCACAAATAAAATTGTTCAGTGATCATCTTCTCTGTACGAATAATAAAACAAATGGAGTCTTAAATTCATTTAATAAATATTTTAATTAACATAATAATATCCTGCAATGGGGAGAAAATATGAATTGTAAAGGGATTTCTGTAGATATTTGAATATAATAAATACAAAAATCAAAATTATTTGATACACAATTTGGCTTGGAATAATTATGATAGGACGCTATCAGAAAATCATTCAATATTTGTTCGTATAAATTTTCTGGGGGTTTTCGGCGATATGTTTTCCTTGATAAATGAAATAAGCCAAATTTGTTTTTTATTATTATTATTATTATTATTATTATTAAATTCTGTCCTGTGGGTACAATTCGGAACACAAATTTGTTCAACCCATGAATTTAACACATGTTCATGAATTGACAGCATAAACGGATGTTAATGAACGTGGCTCTATGAATAATCCATCGTAACGTCTACGCTTTGGCAGAGGATTTCAGGTGCAGCTTCAAAATCTGTTGAATTCCTATTAAAGACAAAGAATAGCAGCCTAATATGCTATCCCTACCAAAATTTCCTGTTCTTGATAGATTTTTTAATGACTTCCCATCAGCAATGAGGAAATACCACTGGTATGTAGTGGATTACAGAGAGTGAAAGTGAGAGAAAATATTGGATATAGAGAAGGTTGAGGAAAGCATCAAAGATGAACGGGATTCAATAATATAGAAGATAGCAGTTGATTTTGCATTTCAGTGTTTGAAGATTGTAGTTTTCAGTGAGGCAAGTAAACGGAAGGTAGGAAGTGTGAGAAAAGAAACTACTGAAGTAGAAGTGGCGATTATGTTTAATTATTTCAACAGTAAAATGGTGGGATCTAGATGCAACACTAGTAGCATGCTTAAATCTATGAAGTAGGGGCAGAAGGATAAAAAGCTCGTCTGAGAATTTACCATGAAAATATTTGTAGAAAAAAACAGCGAAGCCATATCACGTCGGTAAGAAAGTGACTGGATTTGAGATGCCAAGTCAAGATAGATTACTTTGCAGATCCTTCTTTGGATTTTGTCAAGAACCTCGAGATGAATAGCAGAAGCAACCGATGAGATATAACAACAGTATTCAATGCACGGTCGAATGGTAGATTTGTAAATGCGCAAGATGGACGCTAAGAAGAAAACCTTTAGTCACACAGTGACCCAACATTTCTTTGCGATAGATGCAGCTATTTATTTAATGTAGTCTTTCCAATTCAAGTCTTTTTAAAACATGAGGTTCAGAAAGCACAGTGTGTTGCTCTCCTGGAATCTAGCAGCAAACATAGTTTCTCTATGGTGGTTAAATGAGAGCAGTTTAGTTTTGAAGGCATGAAAGTGTACAAATCATCTCCTATCCCCTTTAACCTCTGATTGGGGGACCTTTTCAAAAGCAGCTGCCAGGTTAACTTTGACAGCTATGATGGAGTTTTTAATGAGACAGGAGTAATTCAGAGTGTTATCTGCATAAATGCATATTTGGGAAAGGATGACATCAGGAAGATCGTTGATGAAGATCAGAAATAGCGTAGGACCCAGGAGAGAGCCTTAAGGGACACCCGCGTTCGGTTGAAATGATATTGAATCGAGACCGTTCAAAACGATCTTCATTTTACAATTTGATAGAAATGATTGGATTAAATCAAACAACAGTCTTATAATACCAAAACGCTGAAGCTTACATAAAAGACCAGCGTGGCAAACCCCGTCAGACGCCTTCAAGGTATCTCGACTCTCAGTCTGAACTTTGGCGTTATTATCAAGAGCCTGATATGCATATTCAGTAATAGTAGTTAGTATATCAGCGGTAGAACTGGCAAAGTAGAAGTCATGTTGTCACAGAAAATCTCGTGTAAAGTAAGGTGCTGAATCAATTAAATACTTTACCGAAAATCGTTAGGAGACTAATAGGGCGATAGTGTCGCTAGCAGGTTCCCTAGAATTCTTAAAAAGAGGAACTAAAAAGGAGGAGATCCAACAAGATTGAAAGCATGAAGCA